TCGTTCGATGCAAATTATTCGACTCGAAAAAATTATCGGGTGCAGAAACTTCGAAGATCTGCACTGAATCGGCATAGAAGCTCTTTTTTAATCGGTGGTACGCCCCTCGACATTGCCCTCCTACTTGCTCACTCCATATTGGGTTTCGCCTTAGGTGATCGAGCAGGAATTTGCATCAATATTCCTGATCGAACTAAATTAATCTTCGTCGGTCGATCAAGACCTGTTTGACTGGGTGGGAAGTCTGTAGCAGTCTCTAACATACCTCGATTTTTTTAGGGAATCTACGAATCTATGTCTGCACAAATCTACGAAGCCATATCTGCCCAAATCTATGAAGCTATATCTGCCCAAATCTATGAAGCTATATCTGCCCAAATCTATGAAGCTATATCTGCCCAAACCTACACAGATAAATCTGCCCTAATCTACAAAGATAAATCTGCCCAAATCTACGAAGCTATATCTGCCCAAATCTACAAAGCTATATATCTGCCCAAATCTACGAAGAAATATCTGCCCAAATCTACGAATCTGCAAGGTATATATCTGCCCATTATCTGCCTAATATATGCCCGATATATGTCCAATATATGCCCAATATCTGCTTAGCATCAGACCAATATTTTCCACATATCTGCTCAATATCTGCCCAATATATGCCCAAAATCTACCCAATATCTGCCCAATATCTTCCCAATATCTATCCAATATCTGCCCAAATCTACGAAGCTATATCCGCCCAATATTTCTTCAATATCTGCCCAAATTGGCCTAATACCTTCCCAATATCTGCCCAATGTTATCCCGATATCTGCCCAATATCTGCCTAATATCTGTTCAATATCTGCCAATATATGTCCAACATCTGCCAGCTTCAGACCAATATTTTCCTAATATCTTCACCATATCTGCCAATTTCTGCCCAATTTCTGCCAATATCTTCCCAATTTCTGCCAATATCTTCCCAATATCTGCGCAATATATGCCCGATATATGCCCAATCTCTGCTCAATATTTGCCCAGTATATATCTGCCCAATATCAGACCAATATTTTCGTAATATCTGGTTAATATCTGCTCAATATCTGCCAATATCTTCCCAATATCTACACTTTTTCTACACATTATCTGCCTAATATCTGCCCAATATCTGCCGAATATCAACACAATCTCTGCCAATATCTGTCCGCTTTCTGCCCAATATTTGCCCAAGGGTTTAAGCTTCTCAGTTTCCAAACAAAAAATTATATGTGCATTCGTGCTCCGCTTGATTCTTGTCCTTGAGGCAAGAATTATCCCATCCCTGATAAATTTACTGATACATGAGATGTATGAAAATATTTCTGTGACATAGGATCCATAAATATTCCAAGCTGAAATTAGTAATTCAATAGAAAATCGATAATATAATATGAATGAATCATTGATAATAACCGCAATGAATAATTCTGCCATGTATGAAGTTCGATTATATTCAAATCCTTCCTAATCCACTGACGAACCAACAGGATCATTTTCTTAAAGCTCTAATCAGGGCTGACTCACATCGATCACGTGATCGCTGATGAGTCATGTCGATGATATTAGAAATTAGATGATAGATGATAGAATTAGATGATAGAATTTTTATCGTTTTACCACAAGCTATATTTAGCCTTGACGTACGAACGAATTATGACAGTACACTTACGCTCATTGGTAACATCTACAGTAGGTATCTTTTCCCTGAAGCTCCTATATCAAGGATTACAAAACTTTTCCTAAGCTCTTCCTCGTTATCAGAAGCGAGGTTATATATATAGGGATCGACTGCAGCTAAGTCTCACTCACCTCTGCGCAACTTCACCTCTCTACTGCGGGTCATTCTAAGCGTAGTCGCAGTAGGGCAATTTGATGTCTGAATTAAAAATAATGTTGCATTCAATAATATTCTAATTATCCCGAATCCTTACCAGATATTATTTCACAAATTATTATTTCAAATTTCACCAAAAGAATCGCCGCTTTTTTATTCCACCAAAATTTCTTGAATTCCTTCTCTTTCAGATTTTTGAACATATCCATAATAATTTTCTAAACGCTAAGACTCAATTGGGTTTTAGAACAGTGATGGTTGTGGCGCTCGTTGCCTCTGTCTTACTAGCAATTTATTGGGAAGTTTCGGTTGTGACACTAGCGGCCTCGGTCATCTCAGCAGGTAAGATTTAATGCAATAATTTAGTGATCATTGGTGGAAAATGTTTCACTAACCTATACCATACGGCCCTGAGTTGGTGACATCGACAATGTATAAATTGACATCGATTGCATCACTTATGTTAGGTATATGGTATTGATGGGGAAGATTGAACTCGATTTTCATTAGTCAATTAGTTTTGATCACAAAGAGAAGAAGAAATTCATACACAAACTGTCCATTTGCCTGAATTCTGTTTCGAAATTACAAAGATATCATTATCCAATCGATAACACTGAAAGTTATTCATTACCGTTGGATGTCTGAATAACCGTCAAATGTATGTTGCAGTAAAGACATTTGAAATATTTTCAATTTCGAAACTAAAATAGGTAACCAAAAGTTCAGTGCGTCTTTTAATTTAAAGCTTTCAATTCAGTGATCTCGGTTGTGTCCGGCGACTTGCTGTCTATGGCTTAGCCTCAGCCGCAGCAACACTCGATCATCTTGGCTGGCATTGCCTGGTGGGCTGCTCTGGGAAGATCGAAAGTGCTACATGGTAATTATTAGGCATGGTTAATAATTTGTGATTGATATTGTTGAACTATGTGTATCGATAAAACATTAGTATATTCTCATGCTTAAGACAAAAAAAGCTCCTTAACATCTTCAACCGCATCTTTTTCTCAAATTCTGAAATTCATTCCAATCAATAAAGGAAAAATTGTTTTTATATAATAATATTTATAACAATCAATGCTATACCTGTATATGAACAAATTTCCCTTCTCTTCTATATTATATATTCAAAAGCCTCAAATCCATTGGTTTATTTCAGTTCACGTCATCGGGAGTTTGGTCAGGGGAGTTTCCGGTTTTTTATTATTGGGTAATAGTTATTGTGAAGTTCATCGAGCTATGGGACGATTTCCGTAAAAACTACAAAGGCTAAAAGAAGCAAAAAACTCGAACTCCTGCCTTTCGTTTCATTCTGCGCCAATTAAGGAAGCAGCGACTCGCGTGTGGCCTTTGCCTTCAAGTGTGTCTTAATGGAACAAATATTCTGTTTTAACTTGGACTGTGAGTCGCCTATTCTGATTTGGAAATGAAAGTTTATATGAATTATAAGAACATTTATTTTTTATCTCTCCATCAAAACGTGGTCGATAACGACTATGAATATGAGTTCTCTCTGATTTCGCCTCACGAATGCCAGCTGATTCTCACAGATAAGTCATTCAGCTCCTGTATGTAACAAGTATTGCGATTTTATGGGGGAATTGTTTGATATTTTATTTATATCAAAGAAACGGAATCTGCAATCTAGGATGTAAACGCTTACAGGCTTTCAATGATGTATCCTAACAGTTTCCTGTTGTTCCTCCTCTCCTGTTAAGGCTTCAGGAGTTTGAACTTTGAAGCGATGATGATGGAGCCGATGAAGGTTCCCATCATTTTATCAGGTAAGTAATTAACTGGAAAAGTGAATTGAAAGTGGAAAGTTTCGAAAAGTTATGTATTTTCTTTCTGTCATTTTCACTGCACCGAAGGATCCGTTCAATTTGTCTTGTTCTTTGGTACACCGTCTCAAATTTTACCTTAGGTAATTTGCAGAGAGGGCGAAGGAATTTTTTTGCTCAATTTGGTTTTGTCAATTATTGACGGTTTCTTTTTCTGTTCTATTGTTCTTTCTCGATAACTAAAATGATTTGCCGGGCGAATACATGTCTCATACCTTTGTTAATATACCTTTTTGTTGTTAAAAATTTATTCACTTGACTAACTCCTACAGGGCACTAAATATAGGTATTAAAATTGCCAATAGGTTTGGAAATTCTCAATTTAGTGCCCTACAGGGCCCTAACGGAAGGATATTGAAACTGCCAATTTGCTCGCATATAATAATTTAATATAAAATAATAATCTAAGTAATAATTGCCAATTTGCTCGTATAATTGCAATCGCAACGAATTGATGTATCAAAGAATATGACAATCCAAACGGAAATCATTCTCTTCCTTCAAGACATTCAAAGTTTCACGCCGCTCAGAAGCATAAGACTACGAACGCTTCGACCAAACCGACCTGCAGCACATTGGCTAGTGGTGGCCATGATCATGGTTCCCTGTGCAGCAATGCCGACAGCGATACCCAACGAACGAGGTACGCAATATTTCAATACCATTTTGGCTTCTGCAACGTTCTTGTAGTAGTGACAGTAATTTGAGTAATACTGATCCATTTTTGCTTTAGAATAATAGCGCTAGTTAGTCCCTAAGACGACAAGCAACTTCGCCTCGAGCTACAAAGGCTGTATGCATTATAGCGTTGGGTGTATATTTTAGAATTTAATACTTAGAGCGTAAATGGTCTTTTTTTGATCACGTAGTGACGATAATTTGGATTTCAAATGAAATGAAGCTAGCTTTATTTTTTGCAGTGTAAATCTAGCCCAGAATTACAGGTTGATTGATTATTATCTTGGGAGCAAACGAAAATATTTTTCCTCTTGTGTGGCTCCGAAAATAAGGAACTCACTATTATAATATCAGATGTTGTCCGATAATACAGTTCTCAATAGAATATACCAAATTTTTACTTCACCCTTCTTCATGCAGAATTTATTTTCACACTAATCAATTCTCTTTTTGAAAATTGTCCTCTTGTATACTTTGAGCAAAGGCCCTCCGCGTATCTTCAGCAGCCTGCAGGTGAAAGAATCTTCCGAAGGCCTGGCAGCCTACCCTGCAAACTTCCCACTCACACTCGAATGCTTTACAATAGGCAAGAACCGTCCACTATACCATCTTTTTTTCATATAATGAGCCCATTTTTAGCACCAAATAATATATAAACAATCTATCATTTGTCTCTAGTGCTTCAAATTATTTTGTACCTACAGATAATTAGAAGCTTATAATTCATTCATCAATTATATTTAATGACGGAGAATTAATCATGCATGCTGTTCAGAGATAGGTTCAAAGAATGCAAATATTTTTATAATAAGTTACCAAATTTTATTATCGCCGTTTATTTTTCTATCTCAGCGAAGATATCTAAAACCGCGCGAATATACAAATACCTCCCTGCCGAAATCATGATGTACTAGAATATTCAGATACCCATGACTGAGTGCCTCAACAGGAAGAACTCTGTTGTGGTACGAGAACGGCCAGGTGCTGGATGATGTCTCAGTGGAAGAGTTGTTGGGAGGCTACAAGTTGTCATCGCTGCACATCAATAACCTCAGCCCAACTGACCACCTCCGCAGGTTCACGTGTTCCGTCGGATCTCCGGACGACCCAAGTGTCTCGAGCTCCGTCGTTTTGCATGTTATCGGTGAGCTTCATTTAAATGAGCTAGAAGGTTTGATGTATAATTTAAACAGTTCCTCCAACCACATAGAAAATCCATTACACTCACTAATATCCCAAAGCAAATGTACCCACATAGGACCCTACTTTCTAACCCTCATCACCCACAACAGAACAACATCACCAGACAGAGTCCTACACAACAATAAAGCATTTCACAACATACATCTACAGCCCGGACCCATTGCCCCGTCAGACCACATTCCCATTATAGCCACCATATATGCAAGTCCCATAAAAATACCCATCCGTCCTTATAGATCCTTTCATAGAGCAAACTGGACACTATACAAACAAACATTATGACAACACAGAACCCACACAACCTAATCCTAGAGTAGAAGAAATGAACACGCACTTAGATAACAGAACAAATCACAAACAGAACGCCACCGAAACCTCAATCGCCACCATTATCCACCGCTTCATTCAAGGCATCAAACCCACCCACGAAACATTACCCATTCCAGCACAATAACAAGTCATCCTCCAATACATTCACACCCACGGTCCATCGCTAGCGCTCAACAGACAACTCATCACCCTACGTCAACAACTACACACAGCATACAGACACATCCAAACGCAGACATGGCAGGACCTTATTAACCAATTAGAAACACAAACACAGATCCCAAAAAATTCTGGTCATCCCTAAAACGCATGATGGGCTCCAACACCAAACAAGCTGTCCCATACCTCAAACACAACAACATACAACATGACAACCCGAACAAAAAGAACCCGTCCTCCGCAAACACCGGCAGGGCATATTCACTCAGGATGACACGGACAATGAAGACTTTGACATAGAACACATCCACACAGTACAAGACCACGTCAGCAACAACATACACCTAATTCACCCATATAATCATGGCGAACTCTCCCGACTCCACCCTACAGACTTCCCCCCTATCACCAAGAGAATTACATCGTGCACTAAAGACATTCAAACAGAAAGCACCAGGTCCCACAGGCATCCAACCCTCCAACTCAAACACCTACCCAAAAACATTATCCACTATATTCTATACATATCCAATCATGCCATTACCGCCGGTTGTTTCCCGGATTCACTAAAACACGCAATCATGATCTTCCTCCCCAAACCCAACACTTCACAACACGAAGTCCAGAATTACAGGCCCATCTCACTACTAGACATTCACGGGAAACTTTTAGACAAAATACTTAACAATAGATTATAAGAACACCTTTCCATTAACAACATACACAACACTTGACAACACGGTTGTAGGAAACATAGAGGGACGCACAGGGCACAAACCACATTCCACGAAACACTAGACATATACTTCGCACAAAGACACACCACTAACATAGTGCTCCGCGATGTGACCAAAGCCTTTGACAAGGTTTGGCCCATCGGACTTCAATACAAGATCATCCAACTCAATCTCAACCCGTTCTTCACCAAAACACTCTCAGACTACCTTATAACAGACAGAACAGCATCTATAAGAATAGGAAAATCACATAGGTTCCCCTCTACAGCTCCACACAGGTGTCCCCCAAGGGGCTTGTCTCTCCCACACACTATACAGCTTTTACACCCACGACTTCCCACCTCCACTATCCAGCACAGACTACACAGCTTTTGCAGATGACATAGCACAAATAACCGCAGGACGCTGCCCACTCTACCACGCAGCAGTATAAACACAGCAAGCCATACAAGAGATCAACACTTTCGAAAATAAATGACTCATTAGGACAAACACAAATAAGATTAAAATCGTTGGCATAGGTAGGCAAAACACCTTCGACATCTTCATAGACTACACGCACTATCCATACACGAATAAGGGAACAGTTCTAGGTCTACACTTCACTACACACGGCATCAGCTCCCAAATAGCAACAAGAAGAGCAATAGCCCTCAACAATCTGCACAAAATACATTGATTTTACCACCTCCCACCCAACTTAAACGCACTCTATATCTCTCCTTTGTCAGATCATCCCTCATTTACCCCACGATACACTACATGCCCAATCAAAATCATCCATATCCAAACTGCAGGCAGTAGAAAACAAAGCCCTCCGACTTATTACATATATACACTGGTTCGACTTCATATCCTCCAAAACACTGCACAGACAATGCGACATTCCAACAATAAACACAGTCCTCCACCATCAAGCACGCAAAACCTGGTCCACCATAAAAACATATGATCTTCAACTCTTCATCCAACTCACATTCCCTCGAGACGTCATGGCAAGGCAGCATCGGCTATTTAAAAGCTTCAAATTGCATGCACTACGTACTCTACCTCCACCCCTGTAGAAATAATAATATCAGACCATGCTGCACCAGGACGGAGTTGTTTTAATTACGTTTGGGTGTAGGCGGTCCCAAAACGACACACACCGTCAAAGATACAAGCACACTGACAGACTGACGTGATTCACCGATAGTGACTTACAGTAAAGACGTGACCGAAAACCTAGACCATAAATGCCAACTAACCAACCCTCTACCTTCTTCCGAGTCTCGAGCGACTATAAGCAAATAAAAAATATATATGAAATTAAAAATAAAAAAGCGAGAACGCATTTATATATATAAATATAGAACCACCACCCTCCCATCGCCCACTTTCATAACCATCCAAAGCCTTGACGGGTTTCCAAACCCTTCCCCAACTCCAAACAACCCCAACCACCTATAACCGACCAAATCATGCGCAATGCGACTTCCCATCTTGTAATGTCTTTTCCATTTCTCCTTCCTCTTTCTGGACACTCTGCGTCACCTCTTGTTCTCTTCCACTCTTTCCTAGTGGCACTGCAACAAAATATAGAATTTCGTGTATCGACTTGATATTTGTACGAGAGTGAGTAGGGTCAATTCGTGACTCCCAGCCGAATCGCCTTGAGCGTTCGTTTGTTTTTTCGTTAATATCATGTTGATTGATGTCAAAATTTTATATATTTTAAATAAAAAAGTTCCTGTGATGTTCACCACAATCGTAATATTTTCCGTATTTTAAATGTATATCGATGATATACAACTTTTTCCGCGCTGAGCAGACGAGCTCAAGGCGCCGCTCATCGAGGAGGTCCAAGACACTGCCACGTGTGATGCCCAGGACCTGGAGGAGCACCTGCAGCTTTGCTGGTACCGCGGCACCGAGAGGCTCTTGTGTCAGGTACTGCCGTCTGATGAGGCTGGTACTATTTCTTAGCCGAGGACTTCGGTGTCAGGTGCTGTCGTCTGGAGAGACTGGTACTTTTTCTTGGTCGAGGATTTCTGTGTCAGGTACTGTCGACTGAAGAGACTGGTACTTTTTCTTAGCCGAGGACTTCTATGCCAGGTACTGCCGACTGAAGAGACTGGTACTTTTTCTTAGCCGAAGACTTTTGTGTTAGGTACTGTCGTATGAAGAGACTGGTCCTTTTTCTTAGTCGAGGACTTCTGTGTCAGGTACTGCAGACTGGAGAGACTAGTATTTTTTCTTAGCCGAAGACTTTTGTGTTAGGTACTGTCGGCTGAAGAGACTGGTACTTTTTCCTAGACGAGGACTTCTGTGCCAGGTACTGCCGGCTGAAGAGACTGGTACTTTTTCCTAGACGAGGACTTCTGTGCCAGGTACTGTTGGCTGAAGAGACTGATACCTTTTCTTAGCCGAGGATTTCTGTGTGAGGTACTGCCGACTGAAGAGACAGGTACTATTTCTTAACCGAGGACTTCTGTGTCAGGTACTGTCGTCTGAAGAGGCTGGTACTTTTTCTTAGCCGGAGACTTTCATGTCAGGTACTAGGTATGCTATTCAAAAGCATAAGTGAGGTAATAATTAAATTGAACACTATTATCAAAGTCAATGCGTTCGATCGGTCTTCAATACGCTTATTAATTAGACGTTCGAAACATCCACCGAGGAGATGACTGGCATTGATATACTTTTTCATTTAATTTCTGGAATTCCAATTTAGATGGATTCCCTTAGATCACTAATGTAGATTATGGAAAGTGAAAGCCTGCATAAAGTATTTTGCAAAGCATAAATGTCCAGGATGGTAAGGCATTCAGGTCAAATTTTTTCTATCGTACAGCATATAGTTGATTGATTCCTACCGATTTATTCAATAAATTTTAATTCTCTAATAGATCCTTACTTCAGTTATCTGAAACCATTTTCGCAAAAAATTCCCTTCGCTTCCTTTAAAAAATATTTTCTCCCGAATATTTCAAGCAATGCTCAAGTACAACTGTACTGATTTTCAGTATAATCATGTCTTCCCTCGCTCGTAGGATAATCAAACTGAGTTGATCAGGAGACCACAAACCCGGACGGCGTCTTTACCGCTGGAAATTACTGATGAATTTTGCGAAGTTGAGCTGACTTGCAGAATCCAGTTGAAGAAAAATGAAAACGTTCTGAATGAGTCTGTTGCTTCCGAGCTGGAAGAAACGTTCTCCCGTGCTGAATCGTCTCTGTTTGCTGCTTGTCGTCAAAAGCCTTTTAAAGTCCCAAGAGCTTTAGCTGGAGCTATCGATGAAGGTGCTTTTCTATTGAAATATATGACTAACGAAAAACCTCATATGATGAATGCGTTTATTTAGCAAAATGCGTTTATTTATCAACAATATATGAACTTTATGATACGTAACTTTTGAATATTTCACAGTCTTATCCAAACCAATCGTCGAATCTTTGAACATCATCACCGAAGACGTCTTGGACGCTCAGGCTGCGGAGCTCGATGAAAGTTCTTCGTTGATCAGTACTTGTTGCGAAGAGACTCAAGTTCTTGAAGAAGAGACCCAAGTTCTTACTAAATCTTCAGATGATGGTGAATTATTTATTGTGCCTAAAGACATTTTACATTATTTAAATTCGATGGTACCAGGATATTTCGATTAAATACATTTTATCAAACTTGTTTTACATGAAAAAATAACAGCAAATCTGATGCAATTAATTAGATATTAAAACGAGATTGAAATTTCATGCCACAGTGCGAAACTATCCTTTTTGTTATTTCGCAGATGCTGCAGTAACTCCATTGGACACCACTTCGAAAGTGAGCAGTAGTGAAGTAATGCTTTGGCTCACACTATTTGGACTTGCATTACTAGCGTCTACGATAGTTGGTTTGATAATTACCTTAACATTCTTTGGGTGCAGATTTCTCTTTAATGTTTCGCAACATAACAACACACGTTCCGTAAAAAATAAAAATCGGAACGATAGTGCTTGTGATCATATTCTCAACTACCAAGAACCATTGTCAAAGTCATCAGTTACGGAGGCACATGGGCATCTCCTCCCGTACCCCAGTCGTCCACCCCCGAGCTTACCACGCGAATATGAAGACCTGCTAACACCGGAAAAGAGGACGTCACTCGCTGGACACCATTACGATTATCCGAATATGTCTGCAGTTACACTCATGCCGACTTCGCAATACCCATGTGCGTGTGACTTTGATGGTTATATGGTACCCAAATCATCCTGCGGGCAAATGGTATAAAGAATGAAAAACTTACACACAAGATAGAGCATCCATAATTGATTTTTCAGGCTTGCAGTCACACAAATAACAGACAAATCGTAAGGCACTGCCTGCAAGGCAGTTGGCAAAGCGAAGATTAAAATCTTTAAACCCATTTCTTAAGTCGTACGAGTTGTATTTTGTACATTTATGTTCCTCGTTATGAAAATAAGAGCTTGATTTGTTTATCCTCTGAATTTAATTTAGCTGATAATTAGTGCCGGCTTTATGTCGTTAAAACACAGTGATTTAAAGTTGTAACATATACATTTTAATCATGGGAAGAAATGTTTTTTCTGTGTTTACTTTCTCCAGATTAATATCTGAACAAATGAACCATGAAGATATTTTTGTTTATACAAGTTTTCAATTCAACTGATTCGACTTTTTATATAGCTTCCGTCCCTATAATTAAAGATTCTGTATTTTTTCAATAGATTCAATTATATATATATTTATATATGCAAGTTTGATTGAAGACCAGAGCATGCTTCTTATTAATAATCTTCTTATTCGTCTTTTCAATGACTCGAACTAAGTTTCTAGCTGGCGCCGGGAGATCAAACAGTAGGTTACCAAAAGACATTTTAATAGAATGCAACGTTTCGAAAATACAATTTTCATTATCAAGCTGGAGATGGTTTTACAACATTTGAAATTGAATTTGAAATGACTGAAGTACATATGAATGGTATAGTGGCTGTCTCTTATACACATCTAGATGTGTATAAGAGACAGCCACTATACCATTCATATGTACTTCAGTCATTTCAAATTCAATTTCAAATGTTGTAAAACCATCTCCAGCTTGATAATGAAAATTGTATTTTCGAAACGTTGCATTCTATTAAAATGTCTTTTGGTAACCTACTGTTTGATCTCCCGGCGCCAGCTAGAAACTTAGTTCGAGTCATTGAAAAGACGAATAAGAAGATTATTAATAAGAAGCATGCTCTGGTCTTCAATCAAACTTGCATAAAAGAAAAGCTTCTGCCGAATTATACCGATATTTATATATCAAGACTTATTAAATTTAGCTTATCTATGAATATTCTGAAGTCCGTTACTTTAAACTACAAACCTCTACAATGTTGGGAGTATTTTGGGAAATGGGTCTCTTGCTTTGAGGTTTGCAATATATAGAGGGTATATAGTAATGTGAATAAGTTGCCTGAGACGACAGCTTGCTCGCTCATCATTGCCAAGGTAATGGTGACTCAATATAAGTAAAACAAAACATCGATTGTTCATAATACTATCATGGAAGAAATGTTCTCCTGTGTTAGTGTAGCAAAAAACTATATAGATTTAATTTGTCTCTGAAATTATTTCTATGTGAGTAGAGGAGCTTCAAGAAGGGGCTTGATTTGTCAATATTCGATTTGATTTGACTTAATGGCTGTACAATAATATCTGCTCTAAGGTTTACTATTTCATTTAGCTATGTGAAATTTATGCATCTTGATTAGCATTTTTCTATATTAATGCATGATATGTCACTTTTATTTGCGATAATTCCTTTTAGCAATATCGAAGGACTTTGTGTCTCATTACTTACTGGATTAGACCTGTCTTTCCGCTAGAATTTATTGCATTTGTATTCGTGTGTTGCGTATTAAAGTTCATCGTTGTTTCGGTCAATAATTATTCCCAAGAAGGCAGCGTGTAGTGGAGCGTAACCACGCTTGAACCATATCAACTACAACTCAGTTATAAATAGGATGACGACGTTAATGATGACAGTACTCGATTGGGGGAGCAGGAATTTTAAATGCAAGGAGAATCTATGGTGAGCAACGCTGAGCTAACCAGGGGCCATACTTTCAAAACTTACTTACGCTCTGTTTTCTTGTCTATGATTGGTGGATTTTGCTTGAAAGGCCGTCAATGATTGGCTGATGAACTTACGATCTCTTAACTTTTTTTGAAAGTATGGACCCTGATGTCTATATATTGCCAGAAACAGACGCATTCTCGCACATCAGTATATGTATTCTCGAGGAATTCTCGATGACGAGGCAAGCCTACAATGCAATTAAACATAATTAACGGCGTGGGTTGTTTCGGTAAATATATGCTACGACAGTTTTTAGATATTAAAAACCTCAGGCCAAAATTTTTTTGGAATTTGAAGGAAGGTGACATATCCGCGTATACATAGTTATATTTTAGATGGAAGGTGAAATATCCGCGTATGCATAGTTATATTCCTACTAACTATTCAACAGTTTATATTATATCTTCAGCCATCGTTGCGACGTCCAGTGTTTCCATCGCGTTCTTTGCACGAGTTTCTTCAATTCATTTTATAAGTCCTAATACAGTTTACGCTCCCGTAAAGCAAGGCACTCAGATATCTGAAAAGTTTATTGTCCCCGAATGACCAGTGAAGTTAAGTGCCAGAATTAGTTATTTTTTTGAAGAATGCATTCGTGTTATGAGTTGACCCAGACTCCAACTTTGGTCTGCTTGAACAGGCCGGTTGAGTAACGATTAGTCATTGTTCAAGTATTACGATGGAGATTATTGCAGTATAAAAATAATGATGAATTACTTAGATTCATACATCCAACATGTACAAGTGTTGAGAGGTTTTCTATCTGCGTAAAATTATTTTTCAAAAATCTTATTTCGTATTTTTCCGAAGTACGCCACCCATTTATTTTCGTGGAACAGTTTCATGAACATTTTACTAAACAATATTATAGTATGATTGTTTGTTCAATAATTTAATTTGCCTCGGTATTAAATATACAAATTGCATCATCACACTGCGATATATGCTAATAAACAATATGTTAAATTAGCGTCGAAAACAAGCGCGTACAATGCATCTTAATTTGGGAACAAATGATAACCGTGAAGGATTTAATCAAACTACATTTATTTCTGTTATAAAAATTCAAAGATTTGTTTAGAACTTAGAATTATCGAAAAACCACACACCCTCAATTTATCCCCCGGTAATTGCTTATGAAACTTGAATTGATTTTATTCAACAACTTTTTGGAGGAGCGTATTTCAATAAATCACATTTCTTGCAAAGTTTTAAGCAGGTACCCATTTTTGCATTGCATTTCTGTCGTCATTTGATGCCTTCAATACTATACTAACATCCACTATAGCCAGAAGAAGAACATGTAGTTGTTGTGTTCACTGACACACTAAATCAGCCTACATGATCGAATAGGGTCATTTGGCCACTGATTCTCTTCAATTAAAATCACCTCATTGAACAATCCATCCACTATGGTATAAACAATCCACGTGGTCAAACTGATACTTCATCGCAGAAGAAGACTAAGTCTTGAATGTCAAGTCTCGGGTTTAAGGCTTTCCTAAAAGAGTAAAATGAAGGATAATTAAACTTCTACCTGATAAACTAAAGCAATGAATATAGAAATCAAATAACGTAAAATTACATACATTGCTTCACATCAATTCACAAATCATAATTTAATAATACATGGCAGGACCTATCACACTATACATATCTCCGCTCGGGCTTCACACCGCACAATAATCTAGCAAATCACACCTTCCGCATTCTGAGTTCCGTATAGTCTAATCTAAAATGCTGACGAACAACTTCAAAATAGATAATGAATTTCAAGTCAAATAACACGCAAGGTGAAAAATACGACTTTTCCTCAACATTGTGACTTTAAACGTGTACGAGTATAGAGGACTGCTGCAACATACATATAATATATATGTTATACATATATATATATATATGTTATATATGTTATAATGCAACATATATATTAAAGAGGACTGTTAGCTGCAACATATTATATTAAAAAGGTATTATTGACTCAATAAAACAGAAAAAAACGAAATGAATAATAATAAATAAGATAAATGAAAATAGCTTGTGGCGCATTACAAGCAATATAGCAGTCCGACGATTTGGGTACCATATTGGCCGTGCATACTTCTTATTCCCCAACTGCATTCCCGCAGTTGGTGAATCACTCCGGTGAACGGGAATTATTCACCAACTTTTCCTCTTTTTAGTCGAATTGCTGGTTACTTGTAGCAGATTCATTCCAGGGCCTTTCTCTCTTTCATGAATCTCTCTGTGACACTCGTCTTCTATATTTCATTCACGTTTGTATATTTTGCGTGAATATTTGGCTGTGATCACGATGAGAGAAATTAATATGGGAATGACGATGATTCCTATCAACATCTTCAGTGTACAATGGCAGGGGTCGACTTCTTTTCGAGCTGACTGGGTGGCAGACGTATGTCCGCCCGGAGAGCCTTAATTGGGAAGAGACAGGTAATTCACGGGAGTTTAGATCATATAATCGTAAAAAATATAATATAATAGGTTTCCCTAAAAATCAGCATTTCTCATTACTGAAGGCTAAAATCACACATAGTTCGCATGTTCCATAAACTTACTCCTGAAAACGTGTGTAAAAATCCATCCTGATATATATGCGAGTAATAAGCCTCTCAACACATGTTCATTACCAAAATTTAAGTCAAAATTTTTCGAAGAAATATCAGACTGAGCCGCAAGAATGTATCGTCGAATAGAAAGGTACTATTTAGGCCCTACAATACTTATCTGAATGGTATTAAAATCAATACAAATTTGAAAACACACATGAACGGAACTATAGGATGCGAAGGAAAATGAATAAGCTTGAATTAACAGACATTGAAACTTATTTGATGGACATTTTTCACAATCAGTTCTTTAGAATAGAAACAACTTCCAATACTGCTGGCAGTAGCAGGATCAAAATTTATTCAATATGCAACATTGAAATTTACCTTAAAATTCTTTCAAATCCATGTCAAATTTTTAAACCATTGATGATATAAGTATCATTAAAAAGCATAATTTACCTTGACAGTTAAGGGTGATACTCCATTGCTCACTATCGCCATTTCTGCACGTCAATTCGCGGTCACAGTCGTCCTCGCTTAATTGCTTGAGGTCATGATGATCTGTTGATAATCATAATCAGTTGCCGTTGTGATAAATCAATGCAAATATTGTTTGTGACCATGCTCAAATTAATCCTATTGTATTCCTTCCATAACGACAATGTTGAGTAATTCTAAACATTCATTGTCAAATACTCATCAGATATTGGACTCTAAATATAATTGCACTAGTTATATAACGCAACTATTGTCTGTATCTCAGCCAGCACTTCAATCAACACATTTCACCAGGCATGTTGCAGACGAGGCTCAGGTTCTGTCCGAGTTTAACTTCAACATTGGAGCTCAGCACGGTCGTTCCATCCGCCATCGTGACGCTTATTTCTTTACCTGATTATCAGTGATGATAATAAAATCATTTATTATTGACCAGATATCATTCTCTGTATTTTAATACAGGAGATGAATTTTTTATAATGCAGTATATAAAAAAAATATCGATTTTTTCTGGATTGGGGCCTTAATAATGATAAAAAATTTGGTTGGACAAGTTCATAAACTTTACGAAAAAATGAAAAGCGAATTGAAACTTTTTTCGGAATATTTGTGGCTGTAAATTTTGAATTGCCTTAACAAAGAATAACAATTCTAAGTATCCTTGGATCATATCTATAATTGTTTATCTCACATAAATGTTGGAGCCCAGATTCAAATCGGGCTGATTCAACTCGGGCTGGCTGATTCAACTCAGGCTGGCTGATTCAACTCGGGCCGGTTGATGAAACTCGAGCTGATTCAACTCGGGCTTATTCAGCTCGGGCTAATTCAACTCGGGCTGAAACTTTTTATGCCTAATTTAGGCCGGAACGGAACGATTGTTAATTTTCAGAATATCTGCTCCTTTCGTCCAAAGTTTTACTCAAATGTTTTGAGTTATTCTCCCTTTCACTCGTGAAAGCTATATTTATTATTTGGCGAAAATTATTAAAGTAACTTGAAAAAATTATTAATTTCATTATAATTCTCTCGAAGTACAACCCCTGGCAAAAATTATGGAATCACCGGCCTCGGAGGATGTTCTTTCAATTGTTTAACTTAGTAGAAAAAAAGCAGATCACAGACATGACACAAAACTAAAATCATTGCAAATGGCAACTTTCTGGCTTTAAGAAACACTATAAGAAATAAATAAAAATTGTGCAGTCAGTAACGGTTATTTTTTAGACCAAGCAGAGGGAAAAAAATATGGAATCACTCAATTCTGAGGAAAAAATTATGGAATCACCCTGTAAATTTTCATCACCAAAACTAACACCTGCATCAAATTAGATCTGCTCGTTAGTCTGCATCTACAAAGGAGTGATCACACCTTGGAGAGCTGCTGCACCAAGTGGACTGACATGAATCATGGCTCCAGAACGAGAGATGTCAATTGAAACAAAGGAGAGGATTATCAAACTCTTAAAAGAGGGTAAATCATCACGCAATGTTGCAAAAGATGTTGGTTGTTCACAGTCAGCTGTGTCTAAAATCTGGACCAAATACAAACAATATGGGAAGGTTGTTAAAGGCAAACATACTGGTAGACCAAGGAAGACATCAGAGCGTCAAGACAGAAAACTTGAAGCAGTATGTCTCAAAAACCGAAAATGCACAACAAAACAAATGAGGAACGAATGGGAGGAAACTGGAGTTAACGTCTGTGACCGAACTGTAAGAAACCGCCCAAAGGAAATGGGATTTACATACAGAAAAGCTAAACGAAAGCCATCACCACACCAAAACGGAAAAAAACAAGGTTACAATTAATGGGCTAAGGAAAAGCAATCGTGGACTGTGGATGACTGGATGAAAGTCATATTCAGTGATGAATCTCGAATCTGCATAGGGCAAGGTGATGATGCTGGAAATTTTGTTTGGTGCTGTTCCAATGAGATTTATAAAGATGACTGCCTTAAGAGAACATGCAAATTTCCACAGTCATTGAAATTTCCACAGCATATCAGGTAAAGGCACTGGGGAGATGGCTGTCATTACATCTTCAATAAATGCACAAGTTTATGTTGATATTTTGGACACTTTTCTTATCCCATCAATTGAAAAGATGTTTGGGGATGATGAAATATGTTTTCAAGATGATAATGCATCTTGCCATAGAGCAAAAAGTGTGAAAACATTCCTTGAAAAAAGACACATAAGGTCAATGTCATGGCCTGCAAATAGTCCGGATCTTAATCCAATTGAAAATCTTTGGTGGAAGTTGAAGAAAATGGTCCATGACAAGGCTCCAACCTGCAAAGCTGATCTGGCAACAGCAATCAGAGAAAGTTGGAGGCAGATTGATGAAGAGTACTGTTTGTAACTCATTAAGTCCATGCCTCAGAGACTGCAAGCTGTTATAAAGGCCAGAGGTGGTGCAACAAAATACTAGTGATGTGTCGGAGCGTTCATTTGTATTTCATGATTCCATAATTTTTCCTCAGAATTGAGTGATTCCATATTTTTTTCCCTCTGCTTGGTCTAAAAAATAACCGTTACCGACTGCACAATTTTTTTTCTTGATTTCTCATAGTGTTTCTTAAAGCCAGAAAGTTGCCATTTGAAATGACTTTAGTTTTGTGTCATGTCTGTGATCTACTTTTTTTCTACAAAGTTAAACAACTGAATGAACATCCTTCGAGGCCAGTGATTCCATAATTTTTGCCAGGGGTTCTATTCATATTTTATTCGTAACAATGCTCGCTATTAAATTGATGTGAAATACTTCATCCACTCCTGATGAAATACTCGATTATGATTTACTATCATCTATTAATTGAAAAATGATCACTAATTTTACCACAGACTTTTTCCTTTTTTCCACTTTCATTCCCACTTACCAGGACACTTTATGGAGGTGCTCTTGGAGTGCTGAACTCCATCTTCATCACCATAAAGGCATGTTAATTTGCGGCCACAGTCATCGCTGTATGTCACTTCCAATTGTTGCTGCTGCACGTAGTCGCTTCGTTTAATGCTAGTCTGATGACTCAGCACTTGCCCTTCTTCATACCAAAGTAAGTCAAGCGAGAGTCCATAACCTGCGAGTCATTGAAACTTATCTTCAAGTGAGCTAAATTGGTATGAATTCGGGTTTACAGCTTCACAATTTTTTATAGCCTCCATGACAAAATTATATAAAATCAATTCTCAATGTTGTTACCAATCAGCCAAGATAGTTCTTGTCTGAGGACATTAATTGGACTACTGTGAAAATTTTCCCTATATTTCCTTATGTAACATTAACTTTTGGCCGAACCTTGTATCGTGCAGGTGAGGTTCATGCCTTGTCCCGGCTGCATTTCTAGGCTTGGTCCAACGCTGCTGCCATCTTCCTTCGTGATGCTCATTTCTGCGTTTAGGTTTCAAAGTCAAAAATATCTTCATAAGTAATGCTGACCTTGCAAGAGAATAAAATTATTAGTATTATAAATGTATTATTATGAGTCGTGATAATTGTTGGATAACAGATTTTCATACGAAATTTTGCACTGTTATTGTGTTGTGGGAAACCTGAGCGACGGCATGTGCTTTGCGAGAATTCGATGCGAATATGTCGATGAAGACTGTGAATATATATGTTGAATACTTAGATTTTGCGTTTATGGATATGTCTATTTTGCCTAGCTTACTTTTTTTGGAAAATTACCAACTTTTATAAGGCTCTTTAAGGAAAATCTCAAATTCAAGACTCAAGTTGATGCCCTATAGTAGAGATCAAGATAGAAGATATACAACTAAAGATGTACACATTCCCCATTCCCATGCTTATTCCCCACTAAATTCTTCAGCACGTGAATTACTCACTTTGTTTTTTTTTTTCAAAAATAGATGTACAATAAAGTGATTTAAATGGATAACCCACTGAACCTAAACGATCCTGAAAGATAATTGGAGAGTCCTTATAATTACAGCCCTAACAGCATGAAATCATCCACTTCACATTTCACATATATAATGAAACTTGTTGGTTAGTTCTCGTTCAAGTGACGTTTTCAGTGAGACTATAAAATGATGCAATTGTAAAGGGTATCTAATAAAAGAATGAAATTACGCCCCAATGATAAGCACATGAAAATCAATACTTACTCGGAAATGCTGATTGCGCGCTATGTGATGGTGACAAGAACAAGAGAAAAGCAACAAGTAACGACTTCATCATTTTGTTGTTGGTGTTTGAGGCAAACTCAACCAACGAATTAAACTGCAAAAGAATTGCATACGTTATTAAAAAATACTTCCTATTGAAGTGCATAAATATGAACCACGAAGAAATTCCAATACTTTGGAAAAAATATCGGGTATAGAAAAAACTTACGTCTACAGCACATATGCTGAGATAAAAATCTTTATTGAATTGTCCAGGTATTAATTTCCAGCTTTCAACGCACCCTTTTGAAACCTGTCGGCAAACATTTTGAAAATAGTAATATGACACTCGTCGAGTTACCATGAAAATAGATAATGAACAGATAATGAATGATATCCGTAAATATTTTATTTTATAACGAGCATTATTTTTTCAGTGACATGAAGCTCAGCATTCATTCACTATCCAATAGAAATTACGGATAATATTTAACTTTTCGGAACTAAAAATCAGGAAGAGTTGTTTGAGTATAAGAAATTATGTTCCGTTTTAATTGAGCGGGACCTTGTAGAATAGGTATAATTTTAAGTTGATTTCTAGATAGCTGGGAACCATTAGAGAAGAAGGATTTTGGAGGCGTGAGCGATAGGTGATACCTAACCGTGTTCTGGACTGTTGATTTCTATATGAACTTTGGAGAGCAATAATCGTCTTATTTCTTACTAATTAACTTGAGTTAATGCATGACATGGGCCCTTTTGGCATTTAATGCATGCAACTTTACCTCTTTGGTTTGGCCCAACAATTTAAAGTCGTCTTTGACGCATTACTTTGGCAGTATTGCCGGCTTTCGAGCTTTAACTTGAACTACTTGTGCACATTAACCTCCATCTGCTAACTTAGCAAGTTGGGCAAGCCATTAACTAATATTCTATTAATTGCATCAATCTATACCTCCAATGCCTCTAAACGGCTTAATACAAGCCACTTCAAAGTTCGCCAACGGCAATAATTTTGAAGGTTGGTAGTCGCAAGAATTTGATTTGATTTGTATGATCATTTAGCTTAAGAGACCTATTCATACATATTACAAAAGTTCTTGATAGCATTCGAAAACCCGATTTTTACCATTGATCCCGTTATATTACAGTATAACCCCCGGTATTCACCTCTCGTCTCGTACGTGTCATCTCGCGTCTTGCCTCGATCGCTGCCAGTGCTTGCTGCCTAATCTGCCGTGTTCTTTGTTTAATTTAAGGTTAGAAATGGAAACTGCGTAACTGTCATATCTTGTGCCGTTGAATTAGAATTACTGAATATAATAGTTTAAAGTCATTTCAAGTTTTCCTACATTCTGCTAATTTATATCATTTGTCTCTAATTTCAGTTTCGTGAACATCAGCCTCTACAGTTCTTGACTGACTACACTCACGTCCAAGTTTATTCGCAAATGAACTTGTTGCTGTCCTGAACCTAACCCCAGGATGTTACGTGTATCATTTCAGTGTCATTCATTATATGCTATCTAATTGTTCGGAATGTTAATTACCTAATAGCACCTACATGTACTTATGCTTGCAAAATGCACTTTATGCAATGATGATTTGTTTTGGATGGCAATGATGGAATGCTATAATGATGAAGTGTTTAATGATGATTTGCTATAGTGCTGATGTGTTGAACGATGATTTGCTTCTGTGCTGAAATGATTGGTGATGAATTGCTATGATGCTGAATTATTTAATGATGAATTACTTTAAAGTGATGAAATGTTTAATGTTGAATTGCTATGGTTGAAGTGTGTCATAGATGAAATGAGTCAAAGATAAAATGTATCAAAGATGAAATGTATCAAACATGAAATGTGTCAAAGATGAAATGCGTCAAAGGTGAAACTTTTCGGAGATGAAATGTCTCGTATGACGAGGTAGCTGGCAACCGTTCGAAACATATTCCTTATTCTATAGTCTCTTAATTATTGACTAAACAAATACGAGTAAGTTAAGCTATCGTAAGACAGTGATTGACGTTTGAACCTTTTAAACTTAATCAAAAACTGCAATATTTACTACTCAGCCGTGTATTATAGATAAAAAACAGTATCTACAAATTTACGTCTGGAATCTTCTTTTCCTTCGCCCAGTTGAATTTTTGCACAAGGAAATAAATTTTGCTACACTGCACTTGACAACCGTGACTATTCCTCAGCACTGACAACGTCACACTATCGCTGCGTTTGCTGAACTAACTTCTGAATAACTAACTTCTTATCATCAGATAAGACTTTTCAAGTTGCACCGAAGTTACGGAAGTTCGTGTAAAGCTGCTCAGTGCGCACATGGATTTAAAGAACGTTCAAGCATCACTGCCCGCGCAGAATTTAAATGAAATTTTTCAGTTAATCCATCTGTCCTGGATCAATTTCATTTTACGTATCATGTGATGAGTCTCATACAGGTAATCAATGACAATGACAACTGGTAACTACGGTAATTTACTGCGAATTTAATAACTATGTCGTGGTGCGCAGTCAGTTGGATGATCACTCAACGCGCGTAGTCTAACGTACAATAAATTTCACTTCGTCCTAAAAAAAAGTTCATCTTGAGATCGAGAGCGTACATGTAAACGCGTATTATGAGCCAGATTAAATAATAGAGGACGTTGTTTATATCACACGAGCTCGCCGTTTACTAAATGCGGCCTGTTAAATTTTTATTAAAGCCATTGATAAAAATGCTCTAGAATAGGCGTTATCAGCGCCCTAACTGACAGGCTTGAGCGTTTTCAATTCGTAAATCATTACTCGGTAGTTATTTTAGGTACTCATTATCAGGTATTTTGTCTTGAATGATTTACAATCAGATAATGTATCATTTGTGTCAAGGAAGAGGATCTGCGTACAGCCTTTCAATTCTTCAACGTAGCGTTAATGAAAGCTTTTTGCTACTAGAAAATTACAATACTAGATTAGATCCTTCCACTGTTTATAATGAAAGTAATGAATAATTGAATACATCTTAAATGATTGTAGCCGTAGTTGAACGGTGACAGTTGATTCATATCTGGACATCAATCGAGCTTGTCTTGTGAATTCTTATGGGACAGAAAGCCACACGCCGATCATTATTCGTCAGTTGGATGACAGTTTGTTGTTAAATGGCTTCTAATTAAATGACTTTCTCATGCGTGTTTTCTTCTATAGTATTAAAGTATCCAGGTAAGTATTATATTTATCATATATATAGAGTGTTCTATATTGTTATTGTTCTATTTCTATTCCAAATAAATATTTTCAGGGTCAACTATTTAATAAAATAGTCCGAGGTTTTAAGGAGAAGATCATCTGTGATTTTTTGCTGGCAGTTAGGCTATCCATTGTAAACTGATATTAATTAAGAGGATCTCATGAATTAGATTTAACGAAGTTTGGTCATAATTTCACATTTATCATTCGAAATTAAGCATCAATTTTGGCAGACCTTGGCAAAATTTTCTACTTATTGCAGGAACAATTTTTTAAAAGAGACAATTATTAGCCTTCAACTCAAAGAGCGAGTTGTGATTCGACAAATGCTTCCAAAATACATAGATCTTTTCCCTCTCCTTGTCTATTGTTCACTGCAGTTCACCATCTTCTGAACACTTCAATGTGACGCCCATGCTGGCCGCCATCATCCCGTCATCCCCGTAACTGCAGACGAGCTCTCTGCCGCAGTCGCCTGCGTCGAGGCGCGGCAGCCGCAGTTGCCGCTGCTGTAGGAAGTCGTCCCGCACCAAAGGAGGTTCATCCCGCAGTTCGCGTCCCTTCATCTCATAGGACCAGGATAATTTCTTTGAAATACCATAGCCTGTAAAGTTCCTCGAAGTTAAACAAGGCGAATATTTTCCCGCTTTATATTTTAACGTCATGGTAGCGAGACCCTAGAAGGGCTGGTCATGAGGTCTCGTAGATTAGCTGCGACTTAGCCCCAGTATAAGCTAGAGACCTCTACTGCATTATACTCGCTCATTTCCGCCTCGTCCCGAACTCTATGTGATTTTGCTACTTTCCTAACAGTAATTTTACATAAGAGCGGTTTCATTTCCTGATACAACGTCACTCACCGCTGCAAAGCGAACTTGGTACCCTCAAAGACATTTATTAATTAAAAAAATAAGTCGGATCACAAAACCGGCCCTGACAATCCCAAAAGATATTAATCTTTCATATAATATTTTTACCTACTGCATTAATTTGTTATGAATCGTGTTGCCTGGTCGTGTTGCCAGTTTTGCCACAG